CTTTTTTATGAATTTGTATTTATGCAGACAACATATTTTCAGCTTTTTCCTTTGCCCTTGGTTCTCACAAATCGAAACTGATGGAACAGTGTAAGCACTGACACAGATGAGACATGCCTTTGATGGACACATTTACCTGATCAAATCAGCCGCTCTAATTTCACCTGACAAAGAAAGAAAAAGTCTGTTTTAATTTTCTCTATTAGAGGAGCACGGCTGAATAAAAAACCAAGGGAACAATGCGACACAGCAGGCAGAAATGATTTGTGTGAGGCTTTTCAAAAAAGCCAGCAGTGATGTTTCCTTTCACATGTTGATTGGAATTCACATTTTGTCCTGCTGCATTCTGGATTTTAATTTGATAGACGTAAACCAGGGAATAATAAAAAGACTGTAAAACTCTGACCCCTTTATCCCCAATACCCCTAAATAAAAGCCAATGATTGCCTTTAGTTGCCAAAGAAGAAAAGTGAGTTTCTGTTCGTTATTTGGTGCTTTGTAGGGTATAAATAAGTAGAAAATAGAAACAGCAGAGAGTATATCATGTAAATATTTTTGACTAACAATGCAGCCAACTTTAACTTTCAAAATGGAAGTTCATTGCGAATTAAAAATGAGTTTCAGAGAAATTACACCCCCAGTTTTCTTTAATTGCACACACAAACGGCGCTAATTAGCGGGAGACTTTGTAACTTGATCCAGTTGTGAGTCACACATTCACAGGCCTCGTCTGATCATTCCCTCACAGACCAACCCCACCCGGGTTAGCATCAGGTGGGGTGGGGGCGCGCTCATTGCTCATAACAGACTTCTGAATCATTCCCACAACAGACACACAGAACCTGGTTCTGCTCCCAAAGGGGAGACGGATACAGAGTCTAATGATTGTTGGCAGCACAAACTAAAGGTGCTCTGGCTTTCCCTTTATTATTTCTCATTGTTGAATAATTAAGACCTACTGTTATTTCGCAGCCACCCACTGTAATGATAGCAATAATTCATATTATGCTGATTAGCACGGTGATAGGGAGAGGCGTAATGCATTCCTAATGGCACATTTTTCCCCATCATCCGTGGAAAGAATCCTGTAAATGGAAAGCAGAGGCTCGGTTCAACTGTAATGCGAACGTACTACAGAGTCGTCTAAACGAGCTTCTAGAGTCAGGGTGGACTGCTCTGTTTGTAATGCACTAATAAGTGTTCCTCTGCCTCTGTTTAGGTGGGTCATTTCCCTCCCTGTGAGCCATCTTGGAGCATGAGCAGCTTGTTAATGTTGATGTTTGATTGCTTCAGATCTGAGCCGACAGCTGGGTGTATCTGAGCCGCGATCGGGTTCCTGACTGATGAGAAAAGACTCAGAGTCAACAAATTAAAGGCTTTTTTCCCCCAATTACTCAGCTCACTTCACCTTGTGCATTAGTTTTACTCCTACAAATAACACTATTTACACCCTAACACAAACCATTTTGTTCGGTTTGCTAACCAAGTTCAGGATTAAGTAGAACTAATCTTCCCAGGAATATTTAAAAACATTGTTGCAGAGTTAAATTCGAGTTTTAAGACAACAAAATATCATAAAGTAAATGATTTTATATGAAATTGTGTTATATTAAACTGGTTCTATAGTAGCCTCGTGAGACCATCCTGATCTCGCGAGCTTTCAAG